AAATGGAAAAAAATGACAATGATTTATAATTAGCAAATGAATGCATCCATTGCATTACGAAATGTCAAAATATCATATAAGCATTCAAATAACATAATGAAGTTCAACAACACCCTATAGATAGTTTGATAAGTGGTATTTGGCCTAAATTTCACATATAACTCGAGGTAGCTTTACAAAACAAATCCAAGTCCCAAATTTCAACACAGAGCTGCTTCAGCAACACTCAGCTCCTCCCCTCAACACTCGGCTCCTCCCCTCAGATAAAAGATTTGTAAGGCAGTTTCCAGCAATGGTTCCTAAAGCTGACACCACAAAAAAGCTTGATACAAAGGCTCAGGCAGCCAAGGTTGCCAAATTTGTCAAATCTGGGACAACTGTCAAGAAGAAAGCCAAGAAGATCCGGACCAATGTTACCTTCCATCGTCCTAAGACATTGAAAAAGGACGGAACCCGAAGTACCCACGCATCAGTGCTCCTCCTAGGAATAAGTTGGACCATTATCAGATTCTCAAATATCCTTTGACTACTGAATCTGCCATGAAAAAGATTGAAGATAACAATACCATGGTATTCATAGTTGACATCCGTGCTGATAAGAAGAAAATCAAAGATGCAGTGAAGAAGATGTACGACATACAGACCAAGAAAGTGAACACTTTGATCAGGCCTGATGGAACAAAGAAAGCATATGTTCGGTTGACTCCAGACTACGATGCTTTGGATGTGGCAAACAAGATTGGAATAATATAAACGAATTTAGTCATTGTTTTGTTCCAATCAAAGATACTGTCTTTTAAGTGTGACAATTTGCTAGGCTGTTTTGTCGTGAAAAAAAAATACCAAATTTCAACACAAGGGGGAATTTTTAACATATGACAAAATTTCACTAAACCTTGCCATTTCCCAATTTCACTATATCTCTTGTAGTTCGGTTGCTTAGCTAAAATTTGCAATCCAATACGAACCTCAATAATTAAAGCTGGACATTCAAAATCAGCCCCAAAGAAAATCAAAATCAGCCCTAAACTAATGCACCAAATTAGCTCAAGAAATAAGTACTGCTATTAAACTTCAGCCTCAAAGGAATAATATAACAAGTTGATAAGGCAACAAGCACTACTATAACAAGTACTGATATAAGTACTGCTATGAACAATATAACCAGTTGATAAGACGATAAGCACAACACTAAAGGAAAAGCAACTTCAGTTCACTTGCTTAGCTAAAACATTCAAATAAACTAAACTAAACTAAACCAAAACAATCCAAACTAATGCACCACAGAGGATACAAGGTGTCAAGTATGATAACCAAAGTAATGTCGATCATGATATAAGGTGTCAAGTAGGAGCAATGTGTACCAACATAACTAGAATGTTTCTTTGCCATTTAAAAGCAAATAACAACTTTCTTGTTCTAGATCTCTGAAATTACTTTTGCTGTTTATCATGGTGTATTAATTCCATAGAAAACCAGCACCCCTTAATATTGTATTCCAATCAAACTAGTGAGTTAGGCAAGTGGCGGGACATTGCAAAACATTCACAGTGAAATTTACTTCAAGAATGGCACCAAAAATGGGAACCATTCATGTGAAAAGAAAAGGTATTACCTCAAGGAATGCCTTCAAAACCCACATAAAAGTTAGTATTATTACTCTATTAATAGAAAATCCAACCTACATCCAGCAAAAAGTTTGTGATTATACAGTATAAAATAATGCTATATGGAGAACAAACTACCATGTAAGACATGAAACTATCAATAATTAGCAATTAACTGTGGCAAGATGTACACTTCTCAATTTAGCATTATTCCAAGTAGAAGAGGCAAAGCCATATTAATTTGAAAAGGGACATATAGATAGCTGGGGGAGATGGAAAGCAGGTTTTATAGTGAATATTGGGCTAATAGATAATATGATAGCACTTACCAGAGCTGTGGGGAGTACTCAAAAGGATAAAAATGGCTTGGAACTCTGGAGAAAGAAGAGTGATTCGGGACACGAATTGCAAGGCAGCTTTCGAACTAATACAAGGAGCAGGATAGGACTCACCACTATACAATCTAATATGTCAGATCAGGAATGTTTTAAGCACGGATCGGGAATCCTGGCTACAACATGTTTGGAGAAAGAAGTAAGTGTGCAGACTAGCTAGCTAAAAGTAGTGTCAACAAAGAATCTGGGATGCAGATTATAGCAGAACCGCCACAGGAACTTAGTGAATTGCGTGGTGCAAATATTTTAGGGGCTGCGACCCTATGTTTTGTTTTTGTTTAAGAGGTTTGACCTCTCCCTTGTAAACTTAACAAAAGGAACATACTAGGCAGAGAAGTAAATGCGGTCAACACATTTGCAAGCAAAACATTTTGGCCAAAGCACCTTTGCCCTTAAAAAATAGTGAAACATGTGAAATTCAGCACAAGTAAGGCTAACAAGTATATTCTGGAGAATCATGGACTCTCAAAACATACCATAAGAAGCTGTCCATGCTGTTCTAATAACATTCCTAGTTCATGAATTTTTACGGAGGAAGATCTTTTTTCACATCAAAACTAATTGATGAGTTTTGGTCCTCTTACCAAGCTCTTCCAAAGTGATACTAGTACAAGTCCTTAAGTAGACTTGAGATGCAGCCTTAGAACTCTATCACCAGATTTATCAGTCACCAGATGCAACACCTTAGACTTGAGATGCAACCTTAGAGGTTTGTGTTCTAGAATGAATTTATAAGTTAACAGAAAAAAAAAATCTACAGTATCTCAACTTGCAGGACTACATCCATAGCTAATATACAGCTTTTAAGGCAAAGTACAAATGCAATGATTTGGAGCAACTTGTCCAGGTTTCTAAAAAAATAAATAAATAGAAACAAAGGAAATGAGAGTCGATTTGTGAGTGTGCAGATTTACACAAAGATAGAGCACTTCCAACAGGAAAACATTAGGAAAGAGCTTGAAGTCTTGACAGACATATTTCAATCACCTCAATTCAAGAAACATTCAAGGCTGCTTTTGAACCGGACTAAGTGCATGGATCTAAACGAGTTGAATTTTGAAGTGAAAAAATGTTGCTTTTGAAAAGCATTCAAATCTGTAGAATTTACTCTTACTACCTTAATTGTAATGCATTTAGCTCTACAAACAACACCACAATGATGATTTGTAGACGCTTTAAGTAAAATTGAAAAGGGGACGCTTTGAACACATACCAGGAATTGCTGAAAAGGGGACGCTTTGCAGTTTAATGTGAAATTAAAACCAAAAAATAAAATAAACCAAGCGCTTGAAAATAGAATAACCAAGAATTTGATAAAATCTTAAAGAAACATACAATCTAAATTTTTTTAGAAAGCAAAATCCAACGGTTTCAGAGAATAATATATCAAACCCAATAAAGAACAAAATCTTCAAAATAAGAACATGCTGCTAATGTTCAATTAGACTAGTAACAATAAAGTTTATAAAAAAGGGGGGGAGAATTTCCCTCAGTCACCGCCGGCTTGGTGCAGGTGTTCTTCTTGCGTTTCTTGGCGCCACCGTCGAGGTGGAGGACGAGGTGGAGGGCTGACTCCTTCTGGATGTTGTAGTCGACTAGGGTGCGGCTGTCCTCGAGCTGCTTGCCAGTGAAGATGAGGTGCTGCTGGTCCGGGGGATGCCCTCCTTGTCCTGGGCAGAAATTTTTTAAAAAAAAAAAAAATTAGGGCAATAAAATTTGGGGAGAAATTGAAACAATTGATCATCTAAGTAGGGTAGAAAAGGTGATTGCAAATGATGGTAATTGCTAATTAGGGTAAGAAACTTTGGGGAAACTAGACAAATGATAGAGAAGAAGAGAATTTACCCAAAAATTGAATGTTGGGAACACAAAATCGAGTCAATAAAAATTGGGGGAAATTGATTACTAAGCAAGAAGAGAGAAACTTGCCTTTTTACAGCACATGCTCTGAGGAAACATATCAAAATCAGTAGCCCAATAAGGAGGAATGCTCGAGCATTAGTGAGAAAGAAATTGAGAGGGGTCGAAGTGAGAGAGAGACCGAGAGAGACAGTGAGAAGGCCAGCGAGTGAAAATGTGAGAATTAGAAGTGTATCAGACTTAGCCCAAAAGTGGTAGACTTGTACTCTTTCATTTTGAAATTTGCTTTTTAAAGAATGCCTCCACCAATTTTCAATTCCCACTGTTTCTTTTTCATTGTGAACGAAAAATTTGATCCAATTTTTAGTTTTATCTTTTTATTTAGATTCTCAAAGAAAGGTTATTTTCTTTGTATTAAATTAAACATTTAATTAAGTATACTAAATTGGGAATCTACTTTCATATTATTTTAAGAAATAATTCATTATTTTTAAACATGAAAAAAGAAAAATCTTAATTATGTGTTAAGAACTTTCTATCAGTTTCTAGAAAATTTTGTTAGTTTTGTCTAATAGTACTATATTTTTTTAGATGTTTTATATTGAAGAATCATGAATGTAAATTTGCACGAAACTATAGTATACGTATTGATTTGTAAGAAAAATATGTATTCGTTTTGACTTTTAGCAAATCAACATTAAATTTGAAGGAATTGTAGTAATTAGTAGTCCTGATTTCATTAATTAACTTATATAACACAACTAATTCCGCTTTTCATCAAAATGAATTTGTACTCAATGAGTTTCAACATTCGACCAATTAGATGTCAAGGAGGCATTGACAATACCCAAAATTAAGGTATTTGAATTTAGGGGCCTTGAGTTCTAATTGTAATAGTTTATATAGTTGTTCTAACTAAAAACTTTCATTAATTATTTTCAGTTAAAAACTTATTGAGTAACTATGACTAGTTTAATAAATTATCAAATTTTAAAAAAATTAAATTAATATTTAAGTAATTGTGACTAGTTTAATAAATCATCAAATTTTTAAAAAAAATTAAATTAATATTGAGGCTCACAATTAAATAAAGTCATAGTTAATAAATCATCAAATTTTAAAAAAAATTAAATTAATATTGAGGCTCACAATTAAATAAATGCATTAGAGATGTTCAAGTTAGTGATGATACTTATGTTGTCACTAACTACACTATAGTTTTACTGACAAAAATTGGTCGTCAATAAACATAAACAGTGACAACAATGAAAAGTTGTCAAAGAAAGTGGTAGAATTACTAACAACTTTTATCAAGTCGTCACTATCGCAAAACTCGCGCCTTCCAAGTCCCATGACGCGAAGTAGTTTTGTGATGACAATTAAAGGTTGTCACTGAAAACCCAGTTGCTTTGAGTCAATTGTGACAACCTTCAAAGTCGTGACTAACCAACCTTATTTTGTGACGACTTTTTGTCGTCACAAAGAAATGTTGTCACTAATGACCTTTTTTCTTGTAGTGAGTATATCTGCTTCCCTCACTTTGTTGCAGAAAATTCGAGAGTTTCTTTTCGTTCCAAGGATGATACACCACAGCTCCAAGAGCAAGTTTCATAATAACTAGACTAAATGTATTCCTCTTCAAATGATGAATCAGCCACTGACTCTCAGTCTGCCAAGCATATGTGGATCGGTATATCAGGCAAGCTTCTTGTATTCTGGTCCAAAAATAAGCAGAGTAAGCACACTCAAAGAAGAGATGATCAGCAGTTTCAACCCCTGTACTGCAAAACATACGCCTGTCATCATCCACTACTCCCCATCCTTGTAAACGACTTTTGGTATTAAGTCTATTCCTGCACAGCATCCATGAAATAAAAGCATGTTTAGGAATATGTCCATTGAACCAGACCAAGTGATGCCAATCAACATCAGCTGTCACAGGCCTCAGTATCTCAACAGCAGATTTGACAGTGAAAATCCCATATTCACTAGCTTTCCATCTTCCTAGTTAGAAGGATCCAATTATGCAGTACTAGAGTTAGATGGTGTTTTGTGCATGCTTGGATTGTAATCTTAAGATAAGAATGTTATGGTATTGAATTCTAGATTGCATTATCTATTATGTATTCGCTTCTGTGGGCTCGTGTGTTAGTTCTATTTTGCACTTGCTTTTCATGCATGACTCGTTTGGCTTCGATATTCTGGATGGAAGAGTCTGCTTTTCTTTCAGAAGGATTATACATGACCAATCCTTTCTTGAATGATATATTTTATACATAAATTGCATCCTTTAAATTCAACCTATATTGGTTTCCTTTCTGGTGATCAATGATTATATTGATTCAAAATGGTTGATACAGGTGTTAGATCACTTCAAATCCTACAGGATACAGCTATTGAATCTCCATAGAAATTTGTCTTTCGAATTCTCTATTTCTGGTGCTTTTATCTGTTAAATTAGCACGAACTTTAGTCTTTAGAGCTTCTAGTCATCTTAACAGGGCTGGTGTAACTGCTAGAAATGCCATGAATTTCACATACATCCCAGCCTTTTGCTTTTTACATTCTAAATTTTAATTAGCATATAAAATTTTTAAAGCAAATTACTCCGAGAAATGCAAAGGGCATTTATTGTACAAAAAAAATTCAAATAAAGGAAGTAAGTGAAATTTTCAAAAGTTTAAGGAAGGCAAATGAGACAAGTGAAATTGTCAAAAACCTTTCTCAAGATTTTTAAAATTATACCTTATTATTATTATTGTCGTTGTTGTTATTATTATTTGCTGCTTAATATAGCAAAGGCTTAACTTTTGTTCTAATTTTCCTGAATTAAGCTATATTCTTGGAAAATTATTTTCCAAAAAAAAATTTTTGAACTACACCTAAAAATTCAGGCACCTCCCCACTAGTTTCTAGAGTCAAATGGCAACCTTGCAAGAACTTCAAAGAGAAAGCTGCCTTTCGTGACATTACAAATTTCTTGACAAAATATTTACAATACAAGAACCCAAGATGCTTGAACAGCTTGGGGTCAAGAAAGAAAGCAAGCAATCAATGCTTCACAGGATAAACAAATGGGATATAACATTACGAAGCACAGAAGCAATAATTCATCTGGAAAAGAAAGAAGTAAATCAAGGAGTGACATATAACAAGAATGCAACTATCTATAAAACATGAACAAGAATTGTCCAAAGATAAATCTCTCTCATCAATGAGCTAACTTTGATTCTCAAAAGAAACCATATACACAATGATGTCAAGTACAACCCTGAAAAAAAAAAAACAGCCAGGCTAGTTTTACTTAACCTTCATTGACTTGTACCAACGATTGTCCCTCGTCCAATATTCGTCTGATATTCTTCTCCCTATAGAATATAAGGAGACTAATGGAATGAAAAACAGCAAGAAAAAAGTAGAAAACCCCCATTACAACGGATATCAAGACCAGCCCTACAAATTCTACGAAGGCAATCTTGTCATCATGTTGGATAGGTTCCGAATGAACAAATTTCGACAAAGTGTTCCCCATATGTTTCCCGAAAAAGATGGCTGGTATAAGTACATATGCAAAGCCTACAGCAGCCATGCAAAAAATAAAGCCAAACCCTCTAGGGCGGTCGTCCTCTTCCTTCTCCACCTCCTCCTCCTCCGGCCGCCGGTTAGTTCTCCTACTAGGCATAACTATGAAGGGATGGGTTGAGAAAATTGGGATTTGTACGTACGATTTTGAGACGATTGAATTTCAGATATTCACCGATAAGTGTTTGGTGTACGTGGACAATCCTAGTCCAAGATAAATTTCTTGTACTGTTTGGAGATAAATTTGTTGTTGATTTGATTTGGTTAAGGAATCTGATTGTATTGTATGATGGATGAAGTCAAATGTTGGTTTTGACTACGTAACTGAATTGGTAGCAAACTGGCATACGTCGCATTTGTTTTTTTCCTAAGGGAAAATCGCTCAAAATATTCTTCGTATTTTGTAAAATAATTTTTTTCATGTCTTATTTTTAAAAATGTAATTTTCATCCTTTATAAATTCACATTAGTCAATTTTAGTCCCTATTTAGGTTTTTGACTAATTTTTTATCGGAATCCATCACGTATCTTACACATGATCATTTTTTAGGAGTAAAATTGTCAAACACATTTCATATAATTTGATCCATAGTCCCTCACATTTTACAAAATGAATTTTTTCATTCCTCACATTTCACAAAATAAATTTTTTTATCCCTCACATTTTACAAAATGAAAATTTTCATCCCTCATTGATCGTGCGTATGATAGTCTTTTCTTATTTTTGAAAACTCATGTATATGTCTATTTAATTTCACCTGAATAATACAAATAACATATAATTTATTTCAATTTAATTTCACCTGAATAAACTAATTGTAGTTAAAGATGGAATCAAATACAGATATATTATATGCTATTCATATTGTTCAGGTGAAATCAAATAGATATATACATGAGTTTAACCAAAAAAAAAAGAAACTATTTGGACACATGATCAATGAAGGATGAAAAAATTCATTTTGTGAAATGTGAAAGATGAAAAAATTCATCTTTTGAAATGTGAGGGACGAAAAAATTCTTTTTTGTAAAATGTGAGGGACGAAAAAATCAAATTATGTGAAATTTGATTTAACAATTTTGTTCCTAAAAATAATCACGTGCAAGGCACGTGGTAGATTCTAACAAAAAACTAGTCGAAAATCTAGGTTGGGACCAAAGTTGATCAATGTGAATTTGTAAGGGACGTAAAATTACACTTTTAATAGTAAAGGACGAAAAAAGTCATTTTGCAAAATGTGAGGGACGTTTTGAAAGATTTTCCTTTTTTCTAATTAGTTTTCGGTAATCTATAAATATATATATATATATATAAGTAATTATTTTAATTAGAATTGTTTCTCACTCCTACGTGGCATGCCTAATTGAAGAGAATTAACGGGTTATGGGTCATTTGGGTTTTACCCATATTGAATATTATATTATACGTTTAAAAATTATCCCTAATTTTAAAATAACTAATATTATCTTAATGATATCTAAAATAACTTTAAAACTAACTAATCTCATCTTAATGCTTTCTATGAAATTCTTACATAGAACTATAGTAAAACCTGCTTCAAATCACGATTATTAAAATCTTATATATTCCATAAATTACTTCCTTTCACCACCATATCATTGATTAGTATTCAAATTGTTCATCACCTCTTCCCTTAATTTTGAATTAACTTAGTACAAAAAAAAAAAGAATTAATTGTTACACCAACGGATTTACCAATATTGTTGAAAATTAAATATTTATTGATTGAAAAAAAATTGGATTGCTGGATCTTTTCTACTTAATTAAATGTGAATATATAGTTCTAGATTTATGGTCATTATAAAAATTTAAATTATCTAAAAGAATATTTATAAAAAAATAATATCTACCAAGTTTTTGATATGTGATACATTGTTTAATATACCCTATCACATTATAGTGAAAGTATGTAAACAAATTTTTAAAAATTAGAAAATAATTGAACATTTAGAATACATTAATTTTTTTTAAGTTAATAAGTATGGACATGTAGAATTGTTGTTAATTTTCATATTTAAATTATTCATATTTGTATAAATTCACAATAAATAAGAAAAGAAACTGTGCTAAGACATGGGGCAAAATTCTAGTTAAAGGTTAAATGCACAAAACCTGCCTACGATTCTATGTGATTTGCCCTTTACGTTACTTTTGCTGCACTTTTCCTTTATTGATGGTTAGAAAATGTCTGAAATTCCAATTTTCCCTTTATTTTTATTTTTCTACACTTTTATTCATTTCCCCAGTTTCCCTACCACATTTGCAAAATGTTCCCCCCTTTTTTTTTTCTCTTCTGGGTAAATAAGGAACTGAGCTCCAAAATATCACACTTCTATCTTGAACAAAATGTCCCAAGGCTCAATAGATTTGAAACATTGCTCATGTTCAAGATGTTCCTCCTCAAATGATGAACATATGTCAATCGTAGGATGTGAAAATAATATTAAAAAAAAAACTCTATTTTATGATGTTGACAATCTATTTTTGAGATCTGAAATCTAGAGGAATGTTTCATTATCTTGTTACTATAATAGTCTTTCATGTATAGTTTTCGCAGAATTAAATCAAGTAAGAAAATTATTAATGTTTTTCTGACCTGTATAACTATTAAACTTCGACATCTTAGAAAACTCGTCACAAGATTTTCACGCATTCTACGTGCATTGGAATGCCTAATATTGCAAAGTTTCTGTTTGTGTTGTATCTGGTGCTTTTCAAACTTCAGAATTTCTTTGTCAATACGTTTTTCAATAACGTATAATAAATCGCGTGCAATCCACAAACTGCTAGTTTATGAATTGTTGTAAACATTATCCTAATCATGATTATGTTTTGGAATTTGACAAACAAAATTAGGAGATTATTCATGACCTAAACAAAATTGCGCTGTGTACAAACCATAATTTTTCTGTTTGAGCATATTTTGGTCACTCAAAAAGTTTTTGTACACAAAATCTTCTGTGAGACTAAAAAGCACTAAAAACAAAACACACACTCTAATTACTCCAGAATTTTTTTGTGTAAGACTTTTTTGTGAGACGGGACTAGAGGTATCAGTTCACATAAACATGTATGCAACAAACTGAATAAGCCCCAAGTGCTCCAGATAATCCTGTCCTCCACAAAGGAATATATAGATTAAGCTGTTCAAAGCAGCAATTTGCTTAATGAAAAGCAAAAACTGGTTCCATCGACAAGTTTACATGTGGGCATGTAAAGAATAATCATCTCTATACAATTAATCCTCGTTCCTGAATATAACCACTAATCAACATAATCATCTCTACTGACTAAATCCTAATCGCGCTTGATATTCTATCAGGATTACTGGTCTCCGTTGCCTTGATTGCCATGGGAGCCCACCTCCCCACGAATGCGCTTCTGCAGATGCTCCAAGCTAGCCACGCGTTGCATTGAGGATGTTCTTCCTATCTTGTTCGCGGAAGCTGCTGTTGTTGCAGGATTCTGGCACACATTGTTATCAATGGAAGGAATTTCTAACATACCATTTTGGATTCTTGGACTGTGAGCAGGGAGATGATTACCCGATGGGGCTTGATAATAATGGTGCTGTGAATCATCTTGGATGGGAACAGCAGCATCAGTCGATGTGCCTGACGGACTAGCAGCAAATGATGGCAGGGAAATAGTGGATATCTCTGACATAGCTTGGAACAATGGACTCAAGCCGGTAACCCTTTTAACAGTTTCTTCAGCCATCTTCACCTGCGAAGAGAGACAAATGCAAGAACTCAACAGAACTCAAAGATTTGCTTAAAGCAGACTGCTTTTTTTTTATTGGATTTCGGTTTCTCATTCAGATTCTTATGTAAGAAGACTAAAATGTCTGTCATAGGTACAGAAGCCGTTACAGAGTACCACTAGAACCTTTGGGGGATACAGTTACCTTTGCTCTTAATGTCTCAACATCAGCTTTTAGAACTCTATTATCAACAGCTGCTTCATTGTATTTCGTACTAATGTCGGTCAGGCGCTTTAACAAAGAAGAATTTTCAACTCTCAACTGAGAAACCTAGGAGAATAAACAGAGTATGTCAGAAGGTCTCTCAGAAAATCAACAGTTGCCAACAAAGAAACAATGACAGTAGCATGCCTGTGTCTCAAGCTCAGTCAAATGGGCCTGCTTTCTTCTTCTTGAGCGTCTAGCTGATTCTCTATTTGAAAGCATTCTGATGAACACTAGCTTAATTAACACAAGGAAACCAAACTGATATCTTCCTTTTCTATAGTTTGCATAATGGTATCAAAATTTCTCAGAATATAAGCATGGAAATTAGAAAGCACTGAAAAGTTTATCCAGGAGCGTCAACATTGAAAACTCAGATGTCAACAAGGAAAATTGGCATAGCATGCGGAATTTGTAAAGGCTGCTGAACTTTCAACTTACAGTCTTCTATTTCATAAATCTCAAGCAAGCTAGCCTCAAATCTAATGTTTTGGAGACTCAATTATGTATACAAACAAGAAAAGATGTTACACTGTCAGTCATCGCATTGGGACCACAAGCAGCAGTTAAAGCTTGCTTCTTTCTATGACAGGTGAGGAAGATAACTAAAACAACTACCCATACACTATTTAGACAATGCATTAAGTTAATACCATCAGCAACGCCTTGCTTGTTTCAGTTGGAACTAAACTCAGGCCCAATAAAAATGCTAGGTTCTCCATTACTCCCAACAGTTTATCTTCAGTTCACCACCACCACCAATGCTCCACGATAAGAGATTAATTAGAGAAAGCATATTAAAAGGTGGATGAGGAGACACTTAAGAGGTCAAAGGTAAACCAAATGTCTTCCCAATCATCAAATTTCGATTGCTTCCTCCTTTTTTTGTCATTCTCAAACTCAATTTTAACCCATGTAATTTTGTTCATTTCAGAGTTGCCTACCTCGTATTGATGGCAACTATGGCAGAACCAATTCAAATCCATGAAAAGGATCACTGCAGATCACTTATTGTTAGTTAACTGATGAAACTTTTCCAAAGTGTGGATTTACACAAATAGAGGATTTGTGCAATTTATCAGAAATAAGTTGCATTATAACCAAATGCAAATAACTTAGTAGATAACCAGCACAGAAAACTAAAGCATTCAGCTCAAAACAACAGCTAATCAGTAGCAATCTATGGACTTTCACCCAGAAGCAATAAAAAATGGAG